GGGGGCCACCTGGGCACCAGAAGAGACAGCAGCTATGGACTGCTGTGGCCTTAACAAATTGAGAGTACTCTACTCATTGTAAATAATTTGAAAATACACAAATGTCATTGCTCAGGAAATGTTCCATTCATTTTTACTAGCTGATGTATAGATACTACACGTAAATGTGTCTGGATGGATCTTTGAGGTAATCATTTGTTTTTTCTGCTGTACTTTTTTTAGTCAGAAAGACAGAAATGAGAGGATGGAAAGGAGAAAGGGCCCTCCAAAGATGACACAGGGAGTTGATCAAATAGAACTGGAACGCCAGAAATGACTCAGAGAGTTAATCAGATGAAGCCACAGGGTCCAAGAGTGACTCAGGAAATATCCAGGGTTCCCCCAGATAAGAAACATCGGAGGCACAAGCACAGCACAGCCCCTGTCCCCATTTCACCAATCAGAACAAGCCTAGAGGGCTGACAGCTGTCAATCAAGGACCTCTCTGCCCTGCCAAAACCACATAAAGGAGCCTCAGAATGAGTGTCCACGCCTGCCTGTCTCACCTTAGCAGGCTCGCTCTGCTACTCTGTGCAGTGTATTAAACCTTACTTTGCTTTCCTGACTTTGGTCTCCTCTCACTGTATCTGACTTCCCTGTGACACCAAGCCGAGTCCTTTCCTTCCCAACACTTTTTCTTGTCCTTTACACACTCCCCTTCAAGGAGAGAGAGCAGGCACTGTTTTTGTTTGTGCCTAAGGAGAGTATTGTAGCAAGGTTGAAGGCAGGAGTTGCCTGCAAAACATTTTCCTTTCTGTCTTGTGATTTTAAGCTGAGGGGGAGCAGAATATATCACTCCAAAATATACCTCTTTGGCATAAGGATTATTTTAGGCTGGTAATTTAGAAACAAACAAAAAACAGCACGAGAGAATCTCTGAAAACCAAGTACAAGTTTCCCTATCATAAAAGAAATTTACATTTGTAAGGAAAATCTCCATGTTATAAGCATACCGGGACAAGAAAGAGGACTCCAAATCTCCAGAAACTCTTACAATGGAGAAGGCAGGGACCTAAACCTGCATGACAATGTTACCCTTGTTTACTGTGTTTTTCCTGGTAACCTCCCATAACTAGCACCCCTAGCCCCCGCTGCCCCCCATATTCTTCTGTCTTTAGCTGATGATGTTATTTAAGGTGATGGCTTGGGCCATTTCAGGGAGCTATTCAGTTTTCCTGGGTTTCTCCTTGTACACAGGTGTAACTCTGAGAGTGAAATCCTGGGCAAATACCTCTGAAACTGAAATCAGTCAAAGGGAGGGATAAAGTTTAAAATTCGTTTATTGCTCAAAAACTGCAGTCCCAGGCCGTCTTTCTCCTCTGCTCGGGAAGAAGCCAGCCAGCAAGCAAGCCAGCCCCCTCCCCTTAACCTCTCAGGTTCAGACACGCCCTCGGTTGCTCAGGTAATTACCTATTCATATGGAGATGTACTTCTCTCCACCCCTGAGGAATGATGCAAATGCACTAAAGCCATACTTCTTTCCACCTCTGAACACCTATTGATATGCATATGTACTAAAGCCAGGCGAGATATTCTGGAAATGTTACAGTTTTACCCACAAGGTTCCTAGAGGGTATATGTATGTTGCTGGGGTACAGATCCCATAGGGTAGGAATGATTACCTCCAGTTTACAGATTGACCCCTGAGACAGTCTGATATTGTACAGTAACGAGGGACAGACCAGACTGTCTCTCCTGGAGCTGAGCTCATGCATGCATCTGGTCCTGTGAACTTATTCAGACAGGTCTCACCAACCCAGCAGAACTACCCACAATGCAGCTTCTCTTTCTCACTTCTTCCTCTCCATTTCTTATTTGAATTAAAGGTGCAAAGAGTAGGAAGGGTCATTTTGGATAGCTTAAGTTTCATCTAAATGTTGTGCATGAATCCAAATAACAGAATTATATTCTCTGATTCGCATGCATCTTGGAATCTTTTTTTTCCCCCAATATTTGCTCATGTTTGCCCTTTCTGTTTTTGTTTCCTTAGATGATAGATTTTTTTATGGACTAAGGGTGGCTGGATACAGTTGACACTAGATGAATGGTAATGGATTGTTACTGAGAAAGAAGTTTTCTCACATCCAATTCCTTGAACCAAATTTCAGTTGATTTCCACCCAACCTGGTGATATTTTACCTCAATATTATTTATTATCTATACCAATAGTAGGCTTTATTCATTCCCCAAATATCTCTTAAGCCCTTAAGTGAGTGTCAGGCACAGTTCTCTCTTCTGGAATACACATTCTCCAGTTTTTTGAGCAAAACAAAGTTCTGCTCCTGGGCTTCAGTCTGGGTCCTTGGAATGAGAGTAATAGATCAGTAATGGTCAGGGTAAAGATGACCTATAATTGCGTTGAATTTTGCAGAGAGCAAATATCTAAAAATTATATATCTAAATGCTTCCAACTCTCCTGTTGCTGTAATGAGAGAGAAAGTGAGAGAGAGAGAGAGAGAGAGAGAGAGAGAGAGAGAGAGAGAGAGAGAGAGGGAGTGTGTGTGTGTGTGTGTGTGTGTGTGTGTGTAGGGGTGTGGGAAGGAACAGCTTATACAAGGAGGACAGAATGGAAAATGCAGGGATAGGTTTCTCCCACTGCCATTTTCTAGAAATAGAAATAGGGACCTGCAGTTCATAGCTATAAATTAGGTAGGACAACAAGAGAAGGCAATGCAAGATTAATTAAAGTTCATCATGAATGGTAAAATTGAAGTTAAGGTGTTAAAATGCAGCTCTCACTTTAAAAGGGTTAAGTTATATGTCAGGAATTTATGCACACATGAAAGAGAAGAACAAATTGTTTTGTGCTCCTGGAAAAAACTGTTTTCTTCACTGTTCATGGGCAGTTTCTCATTTAGAAGGCAAACACCATTTCTCTTTCTATCCCAAGAGGGCAAGGGTAGTTTTCTCCAACTTCCTAACATGTTGTCTGCTGTCAGTGTGCTATGCATTTGTGTATTTAAATAAACTGAGTATATGCATATCAGATTCAGATAACCTGAATTAAGCACTTATTACCTCACTGCTCATTTAAAAAAGTTTATCCATGGCAGCCAGATTCAAAGTGGTCCAAATGCAACTCTATTAGCCTGGGGACCTGGGTATTCTCAACTGGTGCCAGCACTGCCTGCCTTAAAGCAGAAGCTGTCATTGTTGCTGGGCTAACTAAACTGAACTGAGCTGGATGTCAAAGCTGCTGTTGGTAGATGGCAGTATGGTTCAACTCCCAGCTTTATGTGTAACCAGTTAGGAATTTTAAAACCATCTTTTTGTGGTCTGGGTGTTAAGTAACTAAATTTTTCATAGCCTCAACTTTCTCACCTGTAAGATGGGGAAGTAATAGCTGACACCGTTATTGAGGATTAAATAGGGCAATCTATGTAAAGTACTTAGTACAGGTCTGCACAAATCGCTCTCAATAAATGACAGTTACTGTTATATTACATATAAGCACTGATCAAATTCTACATAGCAATTACCATGATAGTTGAGAACTGAGGGTCCTTTAAGGAAAACTGAATTAAACCAACATTTCACTAACTAAAAAGTTACTGACAAATCATGGATTCAAAAGATTCTTTATTCTGATATTAAGGAGGTATGAGTTGGTCAACCTTTTGGAGGAGAGGTTGAAAACCATTAACTCCCTTAACTACCTGCAAGTCTGTTAGACCTTACCTGAAACCCCAGATTAGTATATTTTGGGATGTCTTCAGGGGGTTTAATTTTGATAAAAGCAAATTGTCTGATTTTGGTGACTAATAATATTGGGTTAAAATGCCCACACTATAGCAGTAACCAGACCTATCAAAACACGGTTAGTACTTCTGAAGGACAAAAAGCATACTGTCTGCATTCAAGTGGAGTTCAAATACGAAATGGCCTTAAGAGGAGAGATGCAGGTCCTTCATGGAGAAAGGGTCGGTCAAGGCAGGAAGAATCCATCCAACCTTCCAGTCTAGAGCTATTTTCCCTTATAAAACGAGGGGATCCTAAGGAGGTGACCACGTAGCATCAGGAGGAGCCCCGCGGGGCTGACTCACCAAGGAGTCTTCCGTCTCTATAAGTGTCCTGCAGCCGGGCTCTGTGTCTCGGAGGCCGGTGCCCCTTACTCCGCTGCCCGTGAGGCGCACCGGCCCAAGAGGTAACTGGTGCATGAGCACGCCGGTCCTCTCTTCCAAAGCTTGGAGTTCCCAGGCCGGCCGGCGGTGGGCGCGCGCCCGGCGAGGCCCGAGCCCGAGCCCAGTGCGCAGTTGGCCAGCCTCCGGGGTCCTGGGGTCCCGCGGCCTGGGCGCCTACAGCCTACGAGGTCGGTGCGGCCTGTGAGCGCGGCTGGTCCACCCGAGCCAGCACGGCGATCCTTGCCTCCCCCGAGGCCTGGCCGCCCGCCGGGTCCCCGCGCGGAGGGGAATGGGGAAGAGGAGAGACTGGAGGAGTTGGAGGCAGACACAGCCTCGGCGAGCCCAGTTTCAGCAGGAGGCAGACGGCGGCGGGAGGCGGAACACTCCCCTCACCGGCGGCGGGAAGCGGGAGGCGGGACACCTCCTTCAGCGGCCGCGCACCGTCTCACTCTTCCCCCGCCCGGAGGCTGCGGGCCGGGCCCGGCGGGACAGGCGGGCGAGTGCTGCTGGCCTGCTTACTCCGCGCGCCGCCGCGGCCGGCAGGGATACCCTGCAAGCCGGGGAGGAGCCGCCGCGACGCGAGACAGGCAGCGAATCCCTGGGAAAGTGAAAGGGGGGCGGGGAGCGCGGGGGAGGCCCGGGGGGAAGGTCCCCGGCTCTTAAAGAGCCCCGGCGCCCCGCGCCCCCCCAACACCCCCTCGGCCCGCTGCGCAACCCCAGCGGCCGCCCCGCACCCGCGCTCCTCCCGGGGGCCGGCGGGGCGGGGAGCCCGGCGAGCCGCACTGCGGGCGGGCCTGCGTCTCCGTTCCCGAGGGCGGCCGCAGGTGAGTGCGGATCCGAGGTGGCTGCTGTGGTCTCGGCGTCCGGCCCAAGTTCAGCGCGGCGCTGGGGCCGGAGAGGGGTAGGAGGAGGGGCGGGGGACGCGGGGACAGGACGCTCCGTGAACTGGACGCTGGCGAGCCTGCGCCGTCGGCTGGGGCCGGAGGGAGCGGCCCGGCACCGTGCGTCCTACCCACTCCGGCGAGTCCCCCAGAGACAAACGTGCGAGGTCAGTGCGGCGGTATAGCTGGTGGGCACGGCAGGCGTGGGGAGGGCGGCCCCGTCGTCTTTGCGGGGCGCTCTGCCGGAGGACCAGGGCAGACCCCCGCCCCACTCTGTGTTCTCTTTCCCGGCGCCCCGGCGCCCCAGCGCGGGGTCCTGGGCGGCTGCAGGACAGAATTCTGTGCCACTGGGAGGCGAGGAGGGGGACCGTGTGCACTGCCCAACTGAGGTCTCGTTCCCTCGGGCCGCTGGCGAACCGCAGTATGGTGGGGGCTGGAGGTCAGCGGCAAGCGGAAAGATTGTACCGGATCTTGCGGGGGAGTTTGCGGGAAGGAAGGGGGCGGGAGCGACCAAGCCCAGCACTCAGCGTCCTGCAGCTGTGCGCTCTGCAGACCCGCCTCGCCCGGCGCCCCGGGTTCCCCGCTTGTTGACGTGGGAGCGGGGCCGTCCTGAGCCCCTGGCGTGGGCCGGGAAGCCGATTGTGCCGGGCGGTCTGCTGTGACACTTTGGCTAGGTCTCCGGGCCCCGGAGGAAGCAGGCGGTGCTGGATTTCTCTTTGACCCTCATGGTGGAATAAACAGGAAGCAATGAGCACCCAGCCCGGCCGGCACTTGCCTTTGTTGTGGGGTCTGCCTGGAGCGGCGGTGAGGAGGCTGCCCGGGACCCCTGCCCGGTGCTCCGTGGGGTGGGCTTGGGGACGCGCCGTGTGCGTGCGCAGCCTAGGGACACTGGGCTCTGCTCAGGTTAACTCTCTGTGAGGGCTGATACAGCGTTTGAGTGTTTGAAAACTTTTTTTTTTTTTAAATTGTAAAAGGAAGAGGCTTTCGGATGAGGCAGAGCTTTTCAGTAGGACGAAGTGGCCGCGGTGGGTGGGTGACCCCTAGAGAAGGCGCCTCAGCTCGCTCCCTGACTCCGGGAGCTGGCGGGGCACCGCGCTGCCGACTGGACCGAGAGGCGCTCCTCAAAGCAAGCGGGGCTTCTTCGCTCCTACCCAGGTATAGAGATGATTGCTGGGTGACATGGCCACAGAAACCAGCCTAATTTTTGTTTTCCCCAAAGATGCTTTTAATTACCTGGCCGTGGATAGTTTTGATTTGCTTTTTTTCTCCTCCTGTGTCCCATCCCTTCTTTTCTCTTTCTTCTATGTAATTATTTTGGCAACTTCTCATCCCTGGACCCTTCATTTATGGTTCAGCGTTCTAATGTTAATTACGCTTGTGGTGAATATTGATGGCCTACTGTGTGCTAGGCATTGTGAGAAGGGAGGTGAGATGAAATGTACAGAATGTTGATTCCCAGAGTTACTGTTAGTACGTTTCCTGCAGTAGAGGTGGGTAGAAATGGTCAGCAGTGGAGGTTCTGAAACATATTTGGCTGGCATGGAGGTTGGTGCCTTCATGGTGTCATGGTGCCAGGACACTTTCCTTAAAATGGACTTTTCTACTTGTTTGGCGAGCCAAGAAAGGTATTCTTCCATTTGCATGGTCCTTGGAGCTTCTGGACTGAATATTGAATTACAGGGAAGGCTTCTGTGGAGTCTGCGCTGAAAAACTGCCATTGCATGGCCCTGTTCTGCAGCTTACCTATGAGTACTTGTCTTTTCTGGTATTCATACTGAGTTTACTTGTCATCTGTACATCTGCCTTTGAACTCTGCACAGTTCTCTTGCACGTATTCCTTATGTTCAATAAAGGATCATAATGCCAAATTAGGATCATCACAGAAACAAATGAGTAGATCCAAATATTACCCATGTACATTTATTGAATTATAATATTTGGTTTCCTATCAACTTTTGAATGCTATTTGATGGCTCTTGCAAAGCAGTAATTTTTAAAATGTGGGGGTAAATACCTCGGGATCTTTGAAAGCTTAATTCTTTTAAGAGTTTCACTTTACTATTGGCATTGAACACAGTTTTAGGAATTAGGGCCAAGACTATAAATGCCAGTAAGGGATTAGCTGTAATGGAGTTGCAGCTACCTTCCTCCCCTGTTTTAAAAGGACCCCTCTAATTTTTTAGTAACATTCTGCTGTTACCCTTGAAAGTGTTTGTTGTCATTGGCCATGGGTCTGGTTCAAGTAGGTTTATATGTATGTTTGAGAAAGCTTTTCCCAGCATGGTTTATGGCTGTCTCTTGAGTCCTCTTGTAGGCTTGGTTTGCATGACCACAGACCTGCAGAGGAATCCATCCAGTGAGTGCTCCCTGCTTATTAAGGAATTTTGTGTCTTGGCACATCATTTGAGATTCAAAGTCCTCCCCACCCCTATATACCCAAAGTATATACATACATAGACAAATATTTATTTTCCCCTAACTGCTGACAGTGTTCTAAGAATAGTTTTCTTTCCTGGCCTGTTGAGAGCAAGGACCCGTCTGCCGAGGTGTTTACAGTTTGGGACTGTGCTGTAGTCTGTTGATTTGGCAGCCTGGCAGAGCAGCCTTGCAGCTTATGGGATGCCGTCTGTTTTTTTTCTGGACTGCTGGAGTGGCATGTAGTCAGGGGAACATAGAGAGGGGACAGTGACCAATTCTGAGGAAAGTATCTGGAGACCCCTAGGCTCTGTCTGGACCCCTTTGTACTCTCCCAGCATGCAGTCATCCCTGGTCTGGGCAGGAGGTGGTTGCTGTGTGTCATCATGTAAAGCCAAGCACCCTGAGGGCTCCTGGCAGGGACACTTGGGATTGTGACTGGTCAGATCTTTCCTGTAGCCCTTGCAATAGTTCCTCTCGTCTTTCTTCTGAATCTAGACTTCAGAGTCTCTATGATGTGTGTGTCTTTTCGGTGAGAGTTAATACAGAAGAAAGTAAACTTAAGGAGCCATAGCCATAAAAGAAGATCATTCCATATGTTAATGTTTAACAAACTTTATATAGACACATGGCTATTAAATGTGAACAGTGGAAAAATTACTATGTGGTCCCAATGTGCCCCTTCCTCTCTCCATTCCCTCCTTCTTTAGGTCTCAGAAAACTCTTCTGGAAGCCATTAGTTTCTGATGTCAAAGTGACTTTGTGCCTACATGGGATTTGTTAGTCTAGAATTAAACCTTGACTTGTATTTATGGGTGTGCATGAAAGGTGAATCTTAAGTTTTAAAATAGGAATGTAAAGATTCTGCCTACTATTGGAAAATTTAGGCCACAAGACTTGACAGTTTTTAGGTTTGTTTTTTTTTTTAGCTTGTGTGTGGCATCATTTGCTTCATTGTTAGGCAGTGAAACAGCCAAACACCTGTACTACTAATTGCTAGAAATATTGAGTTCATATTTCCAATGAATATTGTTTTTCCTCCATCCTAGGAAGATTTGAAAATAATGTTTGTATTGTCTTATATCTATGTGATTTAAGTATAGGTTGCTTTTCTTTGAATTCCCACTAAACATGGTACTTTGGCCTTTTAAGCTGTTTTGTGAGGACTTTTCTTTCCACCAAGCATGTTTTCCAGATAGGTCTTGGAAATTCTGAAGAACATAGCTATAATTTCTCCCTTGATTGGCAGCTGAGAGCTTTCCTGGACAAAAATAAGGCTACACTGTGCCAAATGGTTGACTTTTCTAGAATAAAAACTAAAGGGTATGCAAAAAGTCCTCTGGTTAATATATTGGCATTTCCAGAACCCACTAAAACTCCGGCAGCTTGCCAGACACCACTTAATGAGGATGCAGAATGTCTGGCTGAAATCCCCATGAGCAGAAGGGGGTGGGGAGCTGATGTCCACACCCCTTATTAATTTTTAATGACTATACTTTTATTTTGCAGATTTTGCTCTGTACCCACCTCATGACTGACCCTCACTATGGCACCTCTCTCCTCATCCATTTATTTACTCATTTATTTGGCACTGGAAAAATGTTGAGACTTTCAAGGTTAAGAACCCTGCTGAGGGATCATTTCTGTCTGTTTGCATGGGGTCTTTTGTTGTTGGTTTTCTTTCTTCTTTTTTTATTTTTGGAAGAGGAAGACAGAAAAGGAGATGACAAACTTTTTTTTTTTTAATGATGCTTTATTGTCTGCTGGAAGAGAAGCATTTATGAAACTAAGTTTGTCAGACAGTTTATGTGACAGTGCAAGTTGGTGCTTGCCAAGCTCCCAGACAGATTGCTAATGTTACATGACAGGGATAAATAAATTACCGCTGTCTGCATCATGCTTGCACTGTGAACACTCTGCAGCCGGTGGCTGGGTGCTGTGTACCCAGGGAGGCTGCGGATGTGCAGCTGTGTGGAAGGCCTACTGCCTACTGCCTTGAATTCTGTGACTTAGTAAGGAAATGAAAAGGGTGTGTCTCTTGCTTTTATTTTTGGCTCTAGCAGCGATGAGTCCTGTGTATTGCTGGGTGGCTCTGCTCCCTTGCCCTGACCCTCATCCCTCCTCTTCCACACCCCCAACACCCACATTCCTCCGCCCTTCTTACTAGGGGACAAGGCACCTAGTTTCCCCCCAAGGGACCTGCTTTGGACGAAACTAAACTTTGTTCTTAGCTGCTCAGGCCTAAGGTTTCTTAAAGCCAAGTTTCAAGCTGCTTACGGTCACATTCTTTCTGCAGGTGCAGACACTGAGAACAAATTGTCTGAGACAAGTGTGCACTGCCCTGGGATGGGTGGGGTGGCACTCCTTGGGCATAATGTACTTTCATCTCTGGCAATTTGGATAGTCAGCTGGCAGAGTGACAGGTGTAATGAACTTAATGGTCTTGCTCTAGTTGTTAGCGGACACACTGCTCATATTACAAAGCCACCTCCTAAGTTGGGCCTCTGCCAAATGACTTGCTCTTCTTTTTCCAGACAGGATTCAGGGCCTGGACTTCTTGAGTGACCCTAAGGTCAAGAATTGGGTGGGTGTGAGCAACATCTGTGTGCCCTCATCCACACAGTCCCTCAATGGACCTTGAAATTATCCAGTGTAAGGCTGTTCGTCTAGTTTGCAAAAAGGATCCATTGCACCCACCCCTGACTAGTCACTGTTCTGCGTGAGGTGCAGCAAGGGTCATCATCTGTGGAAGTGCAAAAATCCCTTGCTTCTAGGGTGTGCAGACTGGCAGGCTTCCTACCATGCTGATTGGTTCTTGTGCAGGGCCACTGTTCTCCAAAAATGGCCTGGGCCATGTCAGCAGGTGAAGGCACGATCAGGCATGTGTTCACTGTGGCCCCAGAGGCCAGCAACCTCTGCACAGAGTTGTGGAGGGACTTTCCATAGTAAAATTTCACTACTTCTGAAAATCAGTGAGCCCACAGCAGGAGGCCAGGCTGCATTTGGAAGGGCTCCTGGACCTCTGTCCTCCACCAGGCCAGTTGTTCAGAGTGTCAGTGGTGGTACAAATGCTTGCTTAGTGCTGATTCCATGCCAGCTGCTCTTAGTGCCGCACATAGCATGAAGAATTTACTTCCCAGGGCAGTCCTATGAATTAGGCACAACGACCATCCCCCTTTGCAGGCAGGCAACAAGAAGTCCTGAAATTGCCCAAAGTCACAGCTCTTGTAAATGAGAAATGGAGTCTGATAGCCTGGCAGTCTCTCAATCTGGGTCTGGGCTTTGACTCCAGAGCTGTAGGAGGCAGGCCCAGGCCAGAAGTTCTTCATCAGGGATCACCCACCAGCTGGTGGGGAGGGACAGGGCCATTTCTCTCCTTGTCCCCATGT